TTTTGAAATGGGATGTTTACTCTTGAGCTTTCTCTTTTGTATCTCTGCTTCCTTTTTACATAGACAACTTGCTCTATTTCCCATCTCATATCTTTGATCTGTAAAATGTAGAGCTCCTTCAGCTTAACAAAAGTTTGTCTAATCTATATCTGTTTCTATCTTTTGAAGATGGAATTATTCTTTTTTTTGTTCTACTCCTGAATTTGCACATTTTTTGCTTGTTTCACTGGAAAGGATAGAGTGATTTCTCCTCTTGTCACTGCTTTCCTCCAAACCAAAGATTTGCTGGTGATACCTTCACACTATAATTTATTTCCAGATATTCCCGTTTACATTTTTGTATTTGCTTTACTTCTTTTTCATCTGTCAGGATGGCAGTTTTAATGTCATAGATTAAAAAATAAGATTATTCTTCCATTTATACAGTCACTGTATTTGTTATTTATAGTTACTGTCTGTTAACCACCTTCCATGATTCCAAGCTTTTCAGTTCAGTTCAGTTTATCATATGGAGCCAATTCATAACACATTTCATCTTAAGGCACTTTACAGAGAAAATTCACTCAGATCACAAAGATTGAGAAAACATTTCTAAGGAAAACCATTTATTGGAATAGAAGAAGGGCCCATCTCACTGTGAACCTGGAAGGATTAAATTGCTATAAAATTTTGATGAATAGATTACTCTTTTTTTTTTTCTATAAATGATGAGTAATATGACATATTTTCCAAACAGAATTTCCTTGAATGACAACATATTATTTACCCTATATAAGTAGGACTCAAATCTCTGAAACCCTTAGCTGAGCCTGTCCTCTAGGTCATTGTTTCCAATGAGTCAACCGTAGTTCATGTTTAGGTGTATGGATCTGTCCAAGGCTTCTTATTCCAGTCATTCTCCACTGACCCAGAGAAATCATATATGAAGCAATGAGATTCCTCTGTCCATGTCTCTGTATCCAAGTTAAAGTTAGGTTTGTCCTGTGTTTGCAGTCTATTGCATGTCATTTAGCATGTTGGTTCAGTCTCCACCCGCTCATCCAGACAGTTCAGACATCCATCCATCCACACATGGGTTAGAGGTCAAGGTCTGGGCATCTGTCCAAGGTCTTCTCGCCCTGATTGGAGAGGAAAGAGGAGTTTCCTGAAATCAGAAAGCCATGAAAGATAAAGAGGAAGAGCCTGAACCCATCAACGTCTGTTTGTTGTTACCTTTGTCTGGGTTTACAAAAGGTTGGCTCTGTAGGCTGTACTAAAGGGTCCTGAGCATGCTTAGATAGATTCTGGCGGCTCTTGATAGGACAATTCCTCACCTTAAAGCCGCCAAGGAAGAGTCTGAACTCATCTTCTTTTACAATACAGTTCTCTGAGTTCCCTCCTCTGATTCTGATGAGTCCCAAACATCTTGTTGAATTCTGATGCTATTAATGGTGCTTATTGATCTGAATGGGACCAGATTCTTCTTTTAGGTTTTGGCAAAGTTTCATAGTCCTGATGAACTCTGATGGTCCTAATGGCTTCTAATGGTTTATCCTACTGGACCTGTTTGGTTGCGATGCTATAGATAGTTCTAAAGACCTAGGATGGCTTTCAGGACTGTGGGGGTTTCTGTTGGGTTCTGATGGTTCCTGTTGAAATCATCATTCTGGTAGAATCTTTTAGTCCTAATGGATCCTGGAAGTGCTGATAGGTCCTGTGTGCTTAACCAGGGGTCTCTAACCCTCGCCCTCACGAACTACTGTCCTGCAGGTTTCTAGATGCATCCCTACTCCAAAACAGCTTGATTAAATTAATGGCTAGTTAGCAGAACTTTGCCAAACCTGATGGCTTGATAAAGAGGTACTCTAGTCATTTGTCCTAAAGATTCCTGATTGCTTTGGTGGATCTTGATTGTCATTGGCAACTGTCACTGGTATCTGCTGTGCTGCCCCCTGCTTGCCACCTACCGGAATTGCCTAAGGAGTTCTAGGTAACCTCCTGTTAATAATAAAGCAAATGTGTCCAAATTTGATCCCAGATGTTCAAAGTTACACACCATTAAGAATACATTTACAGCAGTTTGAAATTCAGACCTAAAACCTAAAGGAATGTCTGATTGTCAATGGAAACACTCCAAAAATGACCTTATATCTACAACGGCAACCATGGGAAGCCAAGAGCAATGGGGGATTGAACTGTAAGGAAAACAACTATAATAATAAGTTGGTTTGTTTTTTTGTTTACCTTATTTTTATTGTTTTGGCACTCATACAAATCCCTACTAGCATGTCTTTAGCATTCAGACGAAGCACATGCTCCCCGCTTATCTGAGTTTGGCATCCTCTACCTAACCTGACAACAGCCAGATGCATGTTTCACTCCGCCTAGCTCCGCTCACAGTGGAGCTGGGCGGAGCGAGACATGCATCTGGCTGTTGTCAGGTTATCCTCTACCTGTGCAGATTGCTAGTTTCTAAAATTTAGCACAGAATGGAGCCATGTCCTGACACCTTAAGGGTTTATTATGCTTGACGCATTGAAATTCCAAGTGGAAAATGAGCTGCATGTCACAGCGTCTGCAACATTTATACTTTCTGTGGCTTTCCCCCTAAATCTGGCGTGCTCAGGGGGTGTTCAGCACAAACAGCAAGCTTACAACACGACGAAGTAAAAAACACAGTCAATTACAACTTTATCAAAGCCTCTTCACGCTGTTTAAGAGCGACAGTAATTTCTTTCCTGGAGTTTTTACACCATCTGTTGATCTTAGTGATATTAATGAGTACCTGCATATATTTTGTATCATTTTGAGCACTAGATATTTTACTTACGGTATTAGCCATTTTTTTGGTAGGTACTTGTAGGTAGATGTGGGAAATGTAAGGCCATGTTCACAGCAGAAGAAAGTATGTGCTGCTGGAAGGTAGAGGCATACTGGACCTTATTGGAAGTGTCGGCCCTATGGTGGAGGTGGAGTGCTTAACAAAGCATCCAGGATTTGAGGCCTGCTGTCTAAATCCTTTTGTTCTGCAGATAGCACATATACCCTACAGACAGCAGCATGGTTCTCTTCAGGGCAGCAGACACAAGTAAAAACTTCTTAGCAAGTTTAGTTATATTTTCCAACATGTTTTCTCATATGTTTGTTACTGAGATCTCAATGGATGATAGTGATACTGTTAAAGGGTGCAGTATATTGCTCCTAATATTTTTATGACACATGACAAAAAAAAGACTTGAGCCATCTGAAAATAAAAGCGCTCCAGTTCATGCAATCTTCTAGAGCTCCCTCAATATTACATATTTTCTGACAAACAAAGATAAAAATGTATGTACTTTAAAAATAACATTCATCAGCAGATTTACATAAATGTTCCTAATTAAATCTGGACCTCTGTGCAAAGTGCACACAAAAAGCCTCTTCCTTATTTATCCTCTGAATAGAGGTGGAAAGTGGGGCTGGTGCAGAGGTGGACAAAGCCATGCTGAACTCTCTAAACCTATAGTGACCTGGAGTATTCATCCTTGAGAGACTCTGTGAGGGCTGAAATATATGCTGGGAAAAGGAAAATACAATTTAGACCACACTCATGCCACTGTTGTTGATTCACAGATGGTCTTTATTACATGATACTGACTGAAACTGCTAACCAAAAGGCTTTTCCCTCACAGGACACCATAAGACTCAACTTGGAGAGAAAGCCTGTCAGGTTTTGGATTATGAAATACGAGAATTTTATGACATCTGCTGTAAGCCGTCCAACTATCCTTGTCAAGTTCCAGAATCTATTGTATTTCAAGATATGTGCACAGGAACTATTTTGCAAAGTACAATAAGGTCAGATTTTGATATGATTTACGATGCTAGTGACAGTTCTGTTTAGAGAGGCAGATCACTGTTTTCTTAATAGGATTTTATAATACAATAATATGGGAAATTTACAGGGGCCAATAATACGTGAGGACAGCGGGAAAGAGGGGTAAAATACAGTAGTTTCCGGCCAAAATAGGAGACTTGAATGCAATGGCATAACCGCCATAACTGGTATAGAGTGTGGAACTAACTGGCTAAATTCTCTGTATTGTCTTTACTTATTTCTATAAAAGGTTTCATTCTTAAAATCTCCAGTCTTCCTTCCAGCTACCCCAATATCTCTGGATTGCTTAGAAAGAAAGCCAAAAAAACAAACACAACAATCAGAGGGGATCTCCTCCTGCAGTTGGATGACGTTGTGTAAATTATTTGATGAAGTCTTCTACCGCCTTCTACCGCCTTTTAGGATAGCCGATAATGACTTTTCTTGCTGATACAAACACTGTTCATGCTACTCTGATTTCAGTTGGCATATCAGACTTTGACATGATCAGTAGCAGATAGCCCTTATGCTGACTTTTTTACATGAGTCTTGGGCAATGTGGTAAATAACAAAAGAGAGTGTAAGTAAAAAAGGTGAAAGTACAACTTTAGAGGTTGCGTTAAAACAGTCACGTAATTGCAGAAAATGTGACTGTATAAATTGTAAAGATGAAAAATTCAGGCTAGAAGTTTGCATCTTCACAACTTCTGATTAACAAATGTTGGATAGCCACATCATAAAGCAAGCAAATCTGGATTGGAGTGCTTCCCCTTTTTTCAGTGCAACACAAATCAGAGGTTATTACCAATATGCTTCTATTAAAAACAAAGTGCAAAATTTCTTTGCAACAGACAAAAAATTGTAGATATGTAAACATAGGAAATATTTGGTATGCATGTATATTTATAGATGATTATACTGATAATCTTAGGCAACAAAGTAATATATAACTTTATATATTGTACATATATCAACTAAAGTCTTACAAGATAATTGCTGATGGTGATAGCTCTTAGAAATAAACTATTCTTCAGTCTGTTTGCTTTAAGGCTTTTAGTAATCCATAAATTGTTTATATCTGCTGCTGGCAGCTATTGTCTAATTTCAGCAATAATTTGCCTAGAGGAGGGGTCGTGCAATGACTACTAATAGCTGAGCATACAGGCTCCCCTCTTTAGTTTGATCCAAATCCAACATGTTGTTTTCAGTTATTCTCCTGGGCCTCTGTATTTTCTTCCTTCTTCTCCAGCTCAAACCTCAGAGACCCAAAAACTTCCCACCAGGACCCCCCACTCTGCCTATACTGGGAAACCTTTTGTACCTGAACTTGAAGAACCCCTTAAAGGACTTTGAGAGGGTAAGAGGGACTATCTAACAGGTGCAACTTATTACCTTCAATATTTCCACCATAAAAGATAACAGCTTAGTATCCAGAATTACACATAAGATTTTTAATTCCTTTATAATTAATTATTTAGGTCTTTGCATTTGGACTTTACCCAGACAGTATTGGATGTTGAAGGCAGTAAATGTTTACCCACATGCCTGATAACACACAGTACATGGTGTATATTGTATTCCTTGATACAAAATTTTGTTCTCAACCATTTTATTCTACAACAAAACAGACTATTTAAGCGGATATTCCCGTTTCGTACTATAAAAATTTGTCTATTTCTTTACAATACACAGCAGTGAGAATTTTTATAAACAAAATCTAAATACATATTTTTTTTCTTTTTTATCTAATCTATATGAATTTATGATTATAATCAATTAAAAGATTTTTTTTATATAGTTATATGCATTTCTTTACACCTTATTGTAAGTTTTCAGTTACTATAAGCAAGATATGTGTATAGTTGTGGATAGACTAAAAACTGATTCTCTTCTTCTCCTTCAGCTAAGGCAGTCCTACGGAAATGTCTACAGCATTTTCTTTGGTTTAAAACCAGTTGTTATGATCAATGGATTTCAGGCCATGAGGGAAGCAATGATAGTCAAAGCTGTTGATTTTGCTGGACGGCCCCAAGACATGTTTATGAATGATGTTATTCAAAGAAAGGGTAAGTTGTGTTTTTAATACATGCAAATTGAAATTGTAATCGGTAAGCAGTTGAAATTAAAGATGGTATGAATCAGTGGCTCCTGGTGGAGTTTTCTCTAGGGGGGGCTATAAATTCAAAATAGATGTATGCCAAAAGATAATCAAACGTATACTAAGTTATCACACAAGTATATTTATATGAATGCCAACAACAAAAAACATTATAAAAACACTTTATAAAAGCAAAACATATATATTTTATGAACAGGTTTACTTTATGTACATATATTTAGAGATATGACTAAATTTAATTAATTTTATTTCAAGTGAATGAAATTTAAAAGTCATCAAAGAGAAGATTATCTGCAATGTTTGTTTAAGCAGTAAAATAATTTAATAATATTAATTGTGCACAGAGGAATTTAATCTTTAGGGCTTATTTCTATATTGTTGTGCTTATTGTAGGTGTAATTATGGCTGATTATGGCTCAGTTTGGAGAGATCATCGTCGCTTTGCTCTGATGACATTGAGAAACTTTGGTCTTGGGAAGAAATCCATGGAGGAAAGAATTCACGAAGAGGTTGAATGCACAATTGAGACACTGGAGAAAAACATAGGTAGGACAAATTTTATAGGCAGAATATTGCATTTTGTGCTGTTTTTGGTTTATAATTGTGCTATTTTTCAAAATGTGTTTTGTCTTTTTAGGTAAAACCCTGTGTCCTCAATTTATGTTCCATAATGCAGCCTCCAACATTATCTGCAGGGTTTTGTTTGGAACCCGTTATGAATATGAAGATGAGATAATCCAAACTATTGTTAAGTGCTTTACTGACTTGACCAGGATGGCCAATGGAATGTGGGCTATGGTGAGATAACGCATCTTTAATGGCATACATCTGAGTTAGGAATGTGATATACTGCTGCAAATGCAAAGTGGCATTTTAACGAACCCTTCCTGTTTCTCCGTTAACTAATAATCCTCGTGGTCTTTCAATCCATTATTTATATGATTCTGAACCAGACAGACAGAACATTAACCTGTGAGCAAATGTAGATCAGAAATAATCTCTTAACTGTGTTTTCTTAAAAGTTATCTTTCTTTACAGTTGTATAACTCCCTCCCTTTCATTCGCCCACTGCCCCTGCCCTTTAGGAAGGCCTTTAAGGACATTGAGGTAAAGTAGGAAAAAGAAACTCCATATAAAAAAAGGAAATAAAACTAACATTCAAACTTGTCTACCTCAGGTTTTTCTGAGTATTGCAGTTGGTTTGGTGAATGAACACAAGAAGACCAGAGTCCCTGGAGAGCCGCGAGATTTTGTGGACTGCTATCTCGATGAACTGGATAAGGTGTTCAAACACATTGAATTTAGAATGTCTGAAATATTTAGCACAGAGAGCAAGGCACAATAAGGGTGGGTAATAGAATATCTTTAATCTGTACTGTTCAGTATGATTAGTAGGTTATTTTTAAACCCTTTTATTTTAAGTGTTCATGTACACTAAGACTAAAAATGCCTTCAATCAATTTGGGACAGTCCTGATGATTACATATTGATTTATTGAGGAATTGTTTCTCAGATAGTCAACACAAAGGAGGAAACATTTTTAAGCATCAACAGAATTTATCCCAGTCATGTTTACCAAAATCATTGATACAATTGATACTTTTTCCATTTTATCTAAAGTCAGTGAGGAAGTGTCTCCCCAAAAGCCCCCAGTCAGTATCTAGAAATTGTCACACAGCCTACAGCATTACCATATGAGGTGATGCTAGAACCAATCAGGCCACAATATGTCAGCATAAGAATATTCATTTTGGCTGACCCACATAGAAGAGTAATAGATATAGAAATAAAAAGATGTAACAGTTATTTCAAAAAAGAATAAAATAAAAATAAATTAATCTTCAACACACCAAACTAAAAGTGGATTAACATGTATAAATCATCCTGAAAGAACGGCCCAACACAAGTTATTCATTGAGTAGTTTAAAGACAAAGTGAATGCTTTGTAGTGGCCACAAAAGGCCCTCTCCTAAATCCCACAAAATAACATGTTGGCAGAGCACAAAAAGGTGTATTTGAGCAAGTTTGTCTTTTCTTAGAAGCTTGTGGAGGGTTACCCAAACCATTTGACCCAAGTCACACAATTTTAAAAAGCAGTGCAATGTAGTATGAAGAAAAAGAATGTAAAACTCAGACTTTAAACAATGTATTTTTTTTTCATGTTTAGCAAAAGATGAACAAACAGGAAATGTTTATCCTAAATTGACGTCAGATAGTGAAAAAAAGAGCCTTTTTATCGTGTATTAAAATTAAACTTAATTTCTATTTACTTTAAAATCATCATTGTCTCCCATCCAGGAAGAAGAGGGATCTTCTTTTTCTGAAGAACAGCTGGTAAGGCACACCTTTGATCTTTATATTGCTGGGACGGACACCACCTCCAACACTCTTCTCACAGGCTTTCTTTACCTCATGAACTACCCTCAAATTCAAGGTAGGTTCAATCTCAAAAAAAGAAAAGCACAAAATCTATGCTCATAACAAGGTTTTGTCCAGGATGGATGGATGGATGGATGGATGGATGGATGGATGGATGGATGGATGGATGGATGGATGGATGGATGATTTGAGTCATTGTTTTTATTTTGCTGATGATTATTTTGATGATCTCAGAGAGGAAAGATTTTCTTCAATTTTTTATTTTTGTTTGTTGGTATGTCACTCTGGGAAAGATTCCCCTGACATATGTGGCTGATGTTTTCTGACCCACACCTAGAATCAGGCACAGAAACAAGTCAAATTTGGATTTAGTTTACAAACCAAGGTCCCAAGTCCCAAGGGAGGGACAAGCACCAGCTGGAGGAGGCTAATGTCTGTTTTTTAATTTGCAATCCGTGATTGATTGATTTCTGAATTCAATCAATTCAATTGAAAAGTACTTTATTAATTTCATATCAAAATTAAATGCTGCGGTAAGTCATTTTTTATGCATGAACATTTGAAAACAGGCCCATAAATATTTGAAATAGTGGTCACATTCTCTAACCCTAACCCTAATCCAACAGAACGATGTCAGCAGGAGATTGACCAGGTCCTAAAGGGGAAGGAGAGAGTCTCTTTTGATGACAGACACAACATGCCTTATATGCAGGTTTTACACATTATTATCCTAATCCCTCTTTATAATTTTAATAATCTTTTAGTGGTTTTCAGCTCTCAAATTGCATATCGATTGCATTTTATATATAGATCAAGTATTGAGTCAATTCCTTGCAAGCTGAGCCCCTTTAAGCTCAATTAAGCTTTATATTGTTTTGATTCTGGCTCTTTCTTGAAGAATTGAAATAATAGGTATTCCATTTCAAAATAGATGATAGAAATCTGTCTTTATCCAGGCTGTGATCCATGAAATTCAGAGGATTGCCAACACTCTTCCTCTCGGTGTCCTCCACAGCACAACTAGAGACACAGAGCTTATGGGATACTTTATTCCTAAGGTATAAGCCAAGCTGCCTAAATTTGCTTCATGTATTAAAGATAGAATGACCATACTTTACTGCTTCTCTCTACCCTTTGCTTTCTCTGCAGGGTACAACAATCGTCCAGAACATGATTTCTGTCCTGAGTGAGGAAGGACAGTGGAAATTCCCTCATGAATTTAACCCTGAAAACTTCTTGAATGAACAGGGAAAGTTTGTCAAACCAGTGGCCTCTATACCTTTTTCTGCGGGTAAATAAGCCAAGAATTTATGCAAAATTATGTAATAGTTATAATATAGATTCAAAAGCTATGTTCATACAGCAGTCTAAAGTGACCCAATCCAATTTTTTTGCTCATATGCAATCTGTATCTGATGTTTTCATGACAGTCTGAATGTCACAGATCAGAATTTTTTCCAATCCTACCCAGTCCACTTGGCTATGTGGTCCTGAATCCGATACAAATCTGATCATTTCTAATTTGACCTGCGTCTGAAAGGCTAGGTCGCATTCATTCAACTTGTACTTCATTAATACTTAACCGAGGTCACTATTCTTAACAAAGGTCACGTTTCTGTGTCTTGCTACACAACAGTGGGAAGAAGAACAATAACTATGGTGGACGATAATTCGGAAAGCAGTCCTAATTTTCAACTCTCTTGAAATTATTGTATTTCAAGATGTGATTGAGCACTACTATCCATGTTTACTTCCATAAACACAGAGCAAAAATACTTATGATGTCTTGCGTCCTCTACTACACATGTGGGACATTTAAGTTGTGTGAATGCGGTTCACACAACTTGGAAATGTGAACAACCACCCAAAAGAATCAGATTTCACAAAAAAATCAGAGTTGAGCATGAAGGCCTGTAGTGTGAATGTAGCCTTAGATACTGAAGTTCTTTTTGTCTCATAGGACCTCGGATGTGCCTTGGAGAGGGTCTGGCTCGTATGGAGCTCTTCCTCTTCATAGTGACACTGCTGAGGAAGTTTAACTTCATCTGGCCAGAAGATGCTGGTGAACCAGACTTTACTCCACTATATGGAATAACTCTGACTCCTAAACCTTATCCCATGAAGATCCAGCTGAGACAAAAACAATGAGGGGCTCGGGAGTTTTGCACTTAATATTGCCTGATTTATTATGTGATGAAAACAATTATTTCCTTCAAAAATGTTGAATAAAATACATAAAAACTGAAATGTTAGGGCAACAGTTTAGATAAAGATAAATCATCTGATAAATTGTACATAGCCTGTACTGGGGGTTTTATCAAGGCCAAGTACCCCAGAGCTCTTTAGTCTACATTTAGTCATTCACCTATTCACATAAACATTTAAAACTGATGAAATCTAGGCTATAAATTTACAAATAGAAACCATCACTTAAAAACATTTTCATAACAGATGATAATATAAATCAAAGGTTTATAAAGCTATTTGTAAGCATTTGGGACTCAAAGTACCACAGTAAGAGCTATTATACAAAAATTGAAAAAAACATTCAACAGGGGCGAACTGTCCAAACAGAGATTAGCCCACCAAATCACTCTTAATGCTCACCAAAGTCTCATAGAAGAGGTCTTCTGTGTTTCTGTTTTAGGACCTAGAGTCTTTGCAGTGAATGACAGAAAAATGGCCCTGTTCTCAAGCTAAAAAGCCAAAGGAGAATACTGGGCTATGAGCTTGTGATCTTTAGCCATACAAACAATGATCCAAAGCACATCAGCCTGCAGCCTTTGAATATGTAAGGCCTATTTAAAGTCTGGATTTAGATTTGATTGATTTTCTGTGGTAGAAAAAAATATCTATGTTTTTAAAATGTTTAAATATCCATGTAATAAAGTATGTTTTTGATGAAAAGGGGTATGTAATTTCTCAAGAACTCATTGCCTGTTATAAATACTTGAGGCTGTTGTTGCTAAGGTTTGCTTGAGTCCTGCTTGAGAGCGCGGAGTGGTGAAACCATGTCCACTGAAATCATGTCAGGCCAACCAATCAAGTTTTAGTTGTGACATTAAAGAAGTGCACTCGAGACAAAGCTTTTTTCTGTCAAAATGGAATATAGAGAAAATAATTTAGACAACGTATGAAATAAGTAGTGCTCTTAAGTTAGTTTTTTAGGTGGCTTTAAAAAAAGGCATTTTGATATAGCACTAGAAGGATTGTTGGTCGTCCTGCCTTATGTCCATCACAGACACTAGCCAGCCACTGCCGCTACCCAGCACTGGTCCTCTCTGCCTTGCTAGATACAAGGAAATACCACCAAATCCAACCACCATCCAGACGAAGCTCTA